ATTTGTTATACACATAGAATTTTTAATTTTAAAAAATAAAAATTGTTCATGTGTGTGTTTTTAAAGAACAATGTGCATTTAGTTCATTTCATTCATACATACAATTGTATTTTTTTTAAACATAAAATCATTATATTCGTGAAAAATAAAACAAATTTAAGAAAATAAAAAATTTGAATTTTTCGAGTGAATTTTTTTACAAAATAGTATCCAATGATTTTAATTCTGATGAATGAGAATATGTTAAATAGCCTCTTATGACTACTAAATTTCATTAGTTTCAAAACATCCAGTTTGCAAATTGAATCAAACGTATAGAACAAAATATTGCTTAGTTATATATTTGAAAGACCAAAAACGATATGAAATAACAACTAACCTTAGATTTGATTTGTGAATATCAAACCCGAATTCATGCCAAGCAGATTGGAAACACGTTCATTAACTGGTGAAACAACGAGTTTAGTTTTTATATTATAAGAAAAAGGTAAACGACAAGAAAATTTTGATCGTGAACGTTTTCAATTTTTGGAGGCTTTGTCCACAAATACTCTTTGTTAAATCTGAGATTTTCAGATTTAAAAAAAAAAAATATATGAGATCTTCAATTATTTTAGATCTGGCAAATTCCTTCTATTTTTATTTTTGATTAATTATGTTAAAAAAAATATATAGAATTTGTAAAACTAATAACATTTGGGAGGCTTATTGAAATAACCCTAATATTGTGGTCAATTGCAATTATACACCCATCTTTCTCTCTCACCAAATTTTTTTCAAACCAACCATAGAATTCAACTTATTTACGGAAATGTCATTATATTTCAATTTTTTTTTTTTTTAAATTAGACAGTCAAAACACCTAAATAAACACCCAAATATATCAATTTATTTACGAAAATGCCATTATCACAATATTTCCAACCACCATGAACAACCAAAATCAAGTTCTAAATGCTTTCCCAACTGATTTTTCGTGGATAAGAGTTTCATTTGTGAGTTCATAACTTCTTCCTCACCCATTTCCTCTCCAATTTCATCCAAAAAACTATCTAAATTTGGTTTTCAAAATTCTTTCTCTCATAATTTATCGATTTTCAATGGTTCTTGCATAAACGACGGCTGGACTTCTTTGTTAACGGTCAAATTAGAAGTTTTAGGTGCTTGAAAGAGCTAAAAACCAAGTTCTACGGCGAAAACGGAGCTGAAAACCGTGTTTTTCGATTTGGTTCACGATAGTAGACTGCATAAGAAGTCTGCTAGTCAACGAAAGGTTAGATTTGCAATTGACTATTTTAAAAAATATTCATAGCAACCTGCTCGTGAAGTCTGCTTTGTTCTCCTTTGATAAAAAAAAAAACACTCGTAGACTTCACATGAAGTCTACTTGAAAATAGGTTAGTTTTGCAATTGACCAGAACTTTGACTTTATAGAGCAGACTTCTGGTGGAGACGCTGACTGGAGACTGCAAATAGAGTCTGCTCCAAGGTTATTTCTGGCATTGACCAGATTGTTGACTTTTGGAGCAGACGCAATCTGAAGTCTGTTCTGTAGGGACGGGTTAGTTTTACGTTTGACCAAAATTTGAAATATAAGTCTGCTATTAATTCAATTAATTAGCAGACTTCTTAAATTAATTTGATATTTGGTCAAACACAAAACTAACCTCTTTCCAGAGTAGACTTCAGATGGAGTCTACTGGCAAAGTCAACAATTTGGTCAATTGCAAATGTAACCCCTCCTTTTAGAGCAGACTCTATCTGCAGTCTACTCATTTCAGCAGAATTCTGATGGAGTCTACTGGATATCGACGGTTTTCCGCGTATTTAGTAGACTACAAAAGAAGTCTACCGGAAAAAGTCAAACTCTGGTCAATTGCAAAAATAACATTTTTTATTTCGTAGATTTCATAGAGAAGTCTGCTGAAAAAGTTAACTCTGGTCAAATGCAAAAGTAACCCAATAGACTTCTAATAGAATCTGCTAGCGTTGGCCGTAATTGTAAAAATAACCCATTATGCAGACTTTATCTACAGTCTACTAATAGACAGCTAACGCGAGTATACTGTAAAAGTCTGCTTGTGAAGTATGCAAATTTAATTTTCTTATAAATGCATTTAAAATTTATTTATAATGAATTTTTTAGATTTTCTTGCTCCCACATGAGTGTTATCTAATGTGTTTCCTTCTGTGTGAATTTGACATATTTAGGTGTAATATTGATTGTATAAATCAATTTTCTTGTAGACATCTGACTTAAATCTACTAGTAGACTGCATTTGAAGTCTGTATTTTAGTTTTTAATTAAAAAATCATTTTAAAATTATGTATAATGAATTTTTCATATTTTCTTGATCTAAATTGTGTCAGTTATAATCCAACTAATTTTCTTGTTTAACTATCTTTTAACTCATTTGTACAGATTTCGTATGAAGTCTACAAGTAGACTGCATATCAAATCTGTCTTTAGATAAATAACTTAGAATTTTTTGCAGAATTTTTTTTTCTCTCAAATACTACCTCTCACTTACACCAAATTCTTTGATATAACTCCATAGATATTCGGGTCAGATTTAGCGATCCGAGTTCAAAAAAACAAAAGAGTTAGGAGAGCTTAGAACACTGGGACATCTCCAAGTTTTCAATGTGTGCTTCTATTTGAAGCAACATTACTGCTAATCCTCTTCCTCTGTCAATCTCGGCCTACAAAAAAAAAACCATGAGATCTGTTAAATGAGTCGCCATGAGACTAGTTTCAAAACCATTATGCGGTATTTATCTAAATCAGAGAAAACTAAATACACAATTTTGAAGAAAAGTAGGTGTAGAATAATCTTAAAAGAAAAAAACTATATAAAGAAAGAAATTTGCATACTTGAATGAAGGTGTAGATTAATCTTAAAAGATACCTCAAAGCCATATGCTCCAGGATAGTTTTACTTCGGCATATTGATCTTTAAGTGCTCGGACCAGAAAAGGATGAGAAGATATCAAATGGGGCATGTGTACTTGGTCC